CCTTGCTCCTGACTCCTGCCCCTTGTTAAAACCTGGTGCTTCCCCTGTGGCCCCGTGGGGCATGTGGTGAACCCCTCTCTGGGACCTGTGAGAAGAGTAAACTCCTTCCTTCTAAGCCTGTTCTCACCTTTTGCGTTGGCCACACTGACTTTACCCCACCACATCCAACATTTACATTCCTAGAACATGAAGAAAGAGATATCGTGGGGAACATGGATTGTGGCAGACGTAAATAATTAATAATTGAGATGGGAAGTGAAAATGGACCAGAAGAACATCCCAGTGGGATGTGTATCTGTCATAGGGAAATGAGTAATTAAACTATTAAGGTAATTTTTCTCCATCATTTCTCTATAGTTCTATAGATTATTATTTTGCCATTTTACTAAGGTTTGAGGGACACATTTTTGTGAGTAAAACAGTTGAATATGATAGACCATTTTCATGAATTTTGGCTGCCTGAAACTATCAGAGTAAGAATTATCTGAGGCAAGTTGATGCATAATTAATAAGAGGATAAAAAAATGAAAGATTCTACATGTCAAAGTTTGTGTTAATTCACAGATGTAAGAGTTGGAGCTAAATTACAGCCTATCATTTAACAATGATTCCAGAATACAGGGATGCTAGTTAATGACAAGTTTCTGAACTCATTTATTCATTACACATTTACTCAACCAATCAATATTACGTGTCTATTATGTGTCAATCACTCTATCTATGGGCTGAGGGTATAGTAGTAAACAAGAGACCAAATATTTTATCCCTAAAGAGCTTACATTACTGTGGGGTGGGAGAGGTGAAAACCTAGTTACAGGTAAGTACTCTAAGAGATGTATGATAAAGTTTTCACTGAAGAATAAGTGACTCGTATTCTGGGCTCAAAATTAAATTTTAGACTTCCATTTTTGGCAATATGCTGGAGTGGATTATCTCAAAAGTTTTTAGTGACAGTATTATAGAACACCAGAATAAAATATTTTATATCCTCCACCATCTAAAGGCATAGTTCAGTTTACAAAAAAATAGTGACATTCTCAGGTGCTAAAAGGTGAACAGGGAATTGAAATGCAAAAGAAATGAAATCCATGCAGTAGAGGGTGTGGAAAGTGGCTCTTTGTAATCCAGTAATTTAGGCATTTACATCAGGTAGATAGGGGATGGAACCTTGCTTCTTTTGAAATTGGATGATAGAATTAAGATCTAGAAATAAAACTGAGAGCACAAAAAGCTCTCTTCTCAGATGAAAGCTGTAGTACAACAAAACAAAACAAACACAGAAACAAAACAAACAACAAGAAAACTCTGCCAACTCATACACACAAACATAAAATGAAATTGTCTATCTTGACTTAGACTCTGAGTTGGGATAATCATCATCCATATTTATCAGTTTATACATTGGAGTTTTAGATTGAATTTTTACCATCCATGAGATTAGGAGCCCTCAGTGAAGGTACTAATAATAAAATTTTTCTGTTCATGGCAATACCACTAGGCATTCCTTATCACAACCAAATCCAAACATCTCTGGATGGACAAGGCCTCTATCCAGGTCATAAACTATTCCTACAGAGTAAGCTCGGCTGAGTATGAGTTCAAAGTCAAAATTCCAAAAAGTAACACCTGGGAACAATCCGCCATAAATGAGATTCAGTAGCAAAAAAAAAAAAAAAAAAGTCCTAATATTAGAATCTACTACTTCCAAACTTGAGATAATAGAAGAGTTATACACTAAATTAAATGTTTGTTATTACTAAGAACATGAAAGACTTAAGCACATAAAAATTTAGAGGCTCTAAAAGATGAAAAACCAGCTTTGAAAGAGAACCAACTCAAAACTTCTATAAATAAAACTTTTTATTCATTCAAAATAAACAGAACTCTCAATGAATAAGCTTAACATGCAAATTATACACACTGAGGAAAAATAATTAGCAAATATAGATCTGAAAAATATCTTTAATGCCACATACAGAAAGTAAAGAGAAGGAAAATAAGAAACAGTGAAGGTAGAATGAGGATTGCACTATGCCTCGAGAAGGTATTTCAGAAAAAAAGAAATAGAGAACAGGGAAGAAATAAAATTAAAACAGACTATAACAGAGAGTTTTTAAAAATTGATAAATGTATCCTCAGTTGGAAAAGTCATGAGTCCTGACCAAGATAAAAATAAATGCATATCTTGATATGTTTTATAGAAATCACAAAACTCAACAAAACAATATTTTACAAGCAGAAAGAAAAGAGAGATTACTTAGAAATTAATGACTATGAGAATTATAGCTGACTTTCTCATCTGAAAGAGTCAAAACTATAAGACAATGAGAAAATATCTCCTAAGTGGTAAGTTAAAATAACTGTTCTATAGAATCATATGTTTAACTGTACCATGATGGAGGAAGCGTGAAATAAAGTTGTTTACAGACACAGATTGAGAGGGGAAAAAGCCCCTTATTGAAAGTAGGTATATTGCTAAATGATATACCTTACAAAATAAGAAAATGACCCTGAAAAGTAAGGGTGAAATACCAAAAGGAATGGTCAGTGCAGAAACCGATGTGCATACTGGTCGATCTAAACAAGACTTGACAACATAAAATAACGGTGATGCTGCTGACGGCCATGACAACAACGACCATGGTGATGGTGGTAAGTCATCCCGGAAGGGCAACGATAAGAAAGAAGCACCGCAATCCTGGATGGCAAAGGCCGGACAGGAATAATAACAGTTAAAATTGTTAAAGTGCTGTTCAAGAATTGATAAAAGATATTGTTTAACTATAGACATGGTTTAGCCTAGAAATACAAAAATCCAACAAAAATGTTAAGGCTGGAGAAAGATTGAAAGAAAAATAAATGATATACCTTGTCAACACTTAAATATCAGATTAAGTAAACCTGAAGACAAAAAAGGAAAAACAAACAACACACTGTCATCAATGCAGTGGTTAAGAATCCACCTGCCAGTGCAGAGGACACGGGTTCGATCCATGGTCTGTGAAGATCCCACATGCCACAGAGCAACTAAGTCCATGTGACACAACTACTGAGCCTACACTCTAGAGCCCGCACCTAGAATCTGTGCTCTGCAACGAGAAGTCACCGCAATGAGAAGTCCATGCACCACAACTGAAAAGTAGCCCCCACTGGCCGCAACTACAGAAAGCCCGCACACAGCAACAAAGACCCAATGCAGTCAGAAATAAAAAATAAATAAATTTTAAAAAAAACAGAACAACAAACTGATAGGTTTGCTCTGGTGAACACATAGGACCCTGAACTCAAGATGTAGGAAATGTACATTATTTTAAAGTAATAACTAAAACATTTACAAACTTGACCATATATTAGTTAATAAAGCTAATCTAAGCAAATATTAAAGCAAATATCATATACACTATATTCTTTGATCAGAAATTAAATTAGAACTCAGTATAAATTAAGAACACCAAATAGCTTGCAAATTTTAAAACATACTTCAAAGTAACTCATAAGCCCACCAAAAATATCACATTGGATAACATATATTTAAAATTCTATGTTTCCAAATAAAATTATGTTGAAATATTTATAATTTTAGGTTTATTAAAAAAAAATCTGAGGGCTGAATCCATAACACCATTGAGGGAAAATGTTATAGCCTTAAAAGACTTATATTAGAAGAAAGGTTACAACTTAGAAACTTAATCATTCAAATCATAAAGTGTGTCAAACAGCACACCAAGAAATGTACTCGGAAAGAAGTGCAAAAAATAAGAGCAGAAATTAATGAACTAGAAAATACGAATGAGATGTAGGATCCACATTATCAAAAACTGTTTCTATACAAAAAGAGAAATAAAATATTTAAAATTCTCTGTAAATAATTAAAGAGAGAAAAGAGTCTATGATAAAATTATTGTGTGTGTGTGTATAAATATAATCAGTGGAAGTTCTCCAAAGAAAGACATACTAGGATACATGCATACACACACACAGACACATAAGTTTGTATGTGTATATGTGTGTAAATATATAAATTGCATATACATAAAGATACTTATTTCAGGAATTTGTTCATGAAGTAGCGGCCAACCCAAAATTTGCAGGGCAGGCAATATGATCAATATGCCTTAGGAAAATGCAAATTAAAGCCATAACGACATACCAGTATTAACCCATTAAGATATGTAAAATAAATAAGACCGACAACAAAAAATAGCAGTGAGGTAAAGCAAAACAATCTCTTATACATTGTGGTGGTAATATAAAATGGTTTAATCACTAGGGCTTGGCAAGTATTTTTATAAAGTTAAACACCTACTCTTGGTGCCAGAAATTTGACACCTAGGTACTTAAGAGAAATGAAAACATATATTAAATAAAAAGACTTAAACAAAAATGTTCATAGCAATTATATTCATAATAATTCCAAAGTAACGACAATCCAGATGTCCATCAACAGGAAAATGGATAAACAAATTATGGTAGGTTTACAGAATGGAGTACTACTCTGCAGTAAAAAGAAACAAACTACTAGTAACTTCTGATACGTTAATGAATCACAAAATATTATAATGAGTAAAAAACTCACTTATAAAATATGCATACTGTATGATTCTGTTTATATGAAGTGCTCAAATAGGCAAAATTAATGTTTCAATTAGGCATCCCTTTTGTATCAGTTTTGGTTCATTCTTGAGACAGAAGTCCCACAGTAATTTAAAGAGGGAAGCTTTATTTTCTACTTTTTAAAAATATTTATTTTATTTTTTAAATGACTTTATTTATTTATTTTTGGCTGTGTTGGGTCTTCACTGCTGCCTACGGGCTTTCTCTAGTTTCGGTGAGCGGGGGCTACTCTTTGTTGCATTGCACGGGCTTCTCATTGTGGTGGCTTCTCTTGTTGTGAAGCCTGGGCTCTAGGCACGTGGGCTTCAGTAGTTGTGGCACACGGGCTCAGTAGCTGTGGCTCACGGGCTCTAGAGTGCAGGCTCAGTAGTTGTGGCACACGGGCTTAGCTGCTCCGCAGCATGTGGGATCTTCCCGGACAAGGGCTCGAACCTGTGTCCCCCTGCATTGGCAGGCAGATTCTTAACCGCTGGGCCACCACGGGAGTCCCGAGGGAAGCTTTAATATAAAGAATCATTTTTAGGGATAAAAGTAAATCCTAAGCAGCACAAACACCTCTAAAGACAACAGATAGCAAAGTATAGGGAGCAGTCCCTACTCTAGGGTTGAAGCCTAGCACCCTAGAAATAAACACACGTGGAGAGGGTTCACTTCTGCACAGCTGAGACCCACGCCTTGAGGGAAACACTGCAGCTCCCGCCCATGGCGGGTGAAGATCAGTGAGATGCCTCAGGTCAGGGCTGGCAAGCAGGGATCCGCTCTCTCGTGCTCAGTGTAACTCAGTGGGAAGCCACCCAGACGAGCTCCTGGGAGACTTGCAGCGGTGCCAGCTGAACTCGGGGGGAGCTGACCTCTGGCATGATGGCAAAACTCGCCGGGAAGCCACCCATGAGGATGGTGTTAACAAGTCACTCTAGTCATCCACTCTCTGTGACACCTGTAACACCTGGGGAGCCATCTGGGGACGTCATGAAATTCACTGGAAGCTGCCCAGAAAATTACCCCTAAAACTCACTACAAACGAGCACGACTGGGTGTCCAGCATGTCCCCCATCACTGTACACTACGGGAGCAAGCTGGACAAAGCATGCCAGGGCCAGGGTGGGAAGACCCTCCTCCTCCAGGGTCCCTCCGGCTCCAGTAACTGATAAAGCTTCACACTGTGCAAGCTAGCAACAGAGAAAAGCATGCAAAATTCAGCTCTGGTATTGCACCTCAGGGCAAGAAAGGGTGAGTTTGGAGCAGAGATGCAACAAATTCATACCTGACACTTTCCATCCCTGTGGAACTTGGCTTACTATGAATCGCCTATGCATGTGGTTCTGGTTCAGGGAATCAGTACTGGTCTCTGGCATCAGCGGATCTGAGACTCAGTGATAACATGAGCTGAACATCTTGGAGAGAGGAAGTCCATGTTTTTGACCCCTCATAACCACCATGCCTGCCACCATGGGCACTTTGTTCAAAGCTTTCTTGAAGGATGAAAGGGGAATGAGGCTGACTGACATCCACAAAGAACATCATTTTTTCCCACCTGATTACTAAGAATCTCCTTATCCTTGGATGCCCTTTGGTGCACATTTCTATGGGACACAAGGTCATCACAGTCTGTCCCATTCTGAGAGGTTCATCCACATAACTATTCCCTAGAATTCCTGTCACGTATCTTCTAATCCCATTCCTCCCAAGTCCTGAATATCCACCCAAACCGTTAGCAGTCGCCAATGAAACCGTGAGATCTGTACTTCTGGCCATCTCTCCCTCTAGATAGAGTGAACCACCAACATACTGCTAAACGTTTTGCTCACTGGGACTATTTTCCCAGGCATCCCCGACTCACATTGTAAATCTCCAGCTCTTCCCTTTCAGCTGCACCAGCGTACCACACAGACCGGTGCAGATCAGGTCAGGGCAGTGTGTCATAAGGAACTTGCATGGTGTTCTCTTCACAGTTTGACACAGAAGACGCAATGCAGCAGGATGGCTGTAGAAGGGGATGGATAGTCCCAAACTGCCTGGAGAGACACAGTAAATTATTGATATTTAAAATTTTATTCTTGCACTGATTATTTTACTTTACCTTTATTTTGTCCTCATTTTATATCCCTCCATCTTCCAAGAATGATATCTTAAGATTTCTTAAATTTGCTTGTATATTATGCTACATAATCTTTACAATTTTACAGATTTTGCTTATATTTCTTGGCATTTTGTTGTCCATAATAAAAACTCCAATTTTTATTTTTGTTCTCATTCTTCGTAATTATGGCCTTTTCCAACTTAAGGTCTTCTTTATAGGCATGCTTCTCCAAAACACATCAGTGTGAACAGCATATATTATTTCAGATACCACAACTTGTATTTTTTGAGGGTAACTGGCTACATAATTTGCAAAGTCCAGTGCAACATAAAAAAAAGGAGGTCCTTGTTCAAAAGCAAAAAATAAGGTAATTTCAAAGGTATTAAAATATAAAACTATCAACATTTTTCCCTTTTGCTCTGTTCTCTCTTTCTTTCTCAACTGGTCATAGTTTTAAAAGTTTGCTATCTCTAGGGTCATTATAAGTAAAAAGTTATAATTAAAAATTGTTACCATGAATTGTATCATTCATCTTTATATTATGCAATGAGAACATTCAATGGAAATATAAGGCCATTTAACTCAGATGCGGAATCGCTAAACTTCCACAATTCATATTTCATAGCTTCTAGGTACGAAGGTATTTCATTCCTATCAGAAGAGAAGAAATCCTGTATGGATCGAACTCTGCTGATTTTATTTCAGGTCTTGACACGTGCACTTTCTAACAAAAGCTTTCTGCCTTCAGATTCTTGGTCAGTAAGGAAAAGGACCCCTGGGCTGTTCTCCTACCTTCTGTCATAATTTTCAGTGTTAAGTGGGTGGCTAATTCAGGGAAGTAACAAAGAAAGCGTTTCTTGGGTACAGATGTGTCTTGGAATGCCATTTTCTTCTGTTTAAAGCAAATTCTGGTTTGAGTGCAAAGGGTGCCCTCTCAGGGTTGTTGGTTTCCTCAGGTATTGTGTCACAGTCCTGACACACTTGACTCCTGCATCTTGGAGTCCTGCAGAGGTCCCAGGCATCTTGGGACCACCAGAATCCCATGGCCATGGAGCATCACAAACTCTAGGTGATTATGGCCATGCACACTGCACATGTCTCCTAGCTCAAGCATGGATGTGCTTGATTGTCCCATCAGACTTCACATACAAAACCTAAGTTCAGGGATCGAATAATTAAGCATTTTAAGAGTACAACAAGAGCACATTGCACCAAGCACTGGACCCTGTGCATAGGTCAATGTGCCCGGGGAGCACACCCTGTTGGAGAGGCACACAGCCCCTCGTTGTGCTGCTGTACTGTTTGAATTGGGTGGCACGCGGAGAAAAAGGTGGCTTCTGCCACTAGGATTTTTCATCCACAAATTTCCTTCACTGACGTAAAACTCACTAAAATCCAAACTGTACAATGAGTGTTCATTCTATGACAAAATATAAAGAAGATGTCATTATATACTAAGATTATATTTAAGGCAGTAATTTTGCGTTCTCAACCTATTTTACAAGTATATGGCCTTGAATCTTTAAAAGATATACTGTTCTGTAAACCTGAAGGACCCTTGTGTTTAAAAAGCTATTTGTTCTAGTTAATGATGACTTTTTAAATGACAGGTGTTTAATTTTAATATTTACCAGAAATTTAATTTAAATGTTAGTGACATTTCAGTAAAATTCCTGTTCTTTCTACTGAACATGAAAAATAAAGTTGTTTTTATTTTCTTTAAAGACTACCTATTGGCAAATCTTAGATAATAAATTCCCAAGTTCTACTGTTTTCCAAACATATTTAATTCTTTTCTTTCTAGCCTGTAATGATTGTTTTCTTGGTACTTCCCTCCTCTTTGATTAATTTCATGAAAAATGTTGCTGTTGTAGTGTCAAGAAATAAATTCCCAGTGATTCTACAGAATAAGATACTATGGAATAGTATCTTATTCCATAAGATAGAGGAATTTGGGAGCCACTTCTCCTGAATCATCTGAGGTTTCATTTCTCTACTTCTATTTTATATTAACGTTTTCTGTATTCTCACTTGATTTAAACCCTGTCTGTAATCTGAGTATCATGAAGGGCATAAAATTAAAGAAAATAATTTCATATTCATAAATTCACTTACTATCTAGTAAGAGCTTACCATATGATGGAGAGCAGCTACTCCTTATTTAAAGGAATACTTAATTAAATCATTATCCTGTAGCAAAAGTCAGATGTTAAAAAAAAATGAAAATAGAAAAAAGAAAGGAATAAAATAAAGACAGAAAACTTATAATAGAGAGAATTAATCAAATATAATTTGTTTCAGAAACAAGTTTGTTTTGAAAAAATTACTTTTACCAGTCATTACTTTTTCTATATCATTCTTTCTTGCAGCATGGAATAGATATGAGTTCTTGAAATAGTGATAGAATTTTTCTGAATATATTAAGGTATATTAATAAAAGTTGAGGGCTGAGCTTTAGCTTTTTTCCTATGACTTTTAAATTTAATAATTCCAATTGACGTGATGAAACACAAATAAATCAGTTGAGCTGAACCTCAACTGCAATATGTATGTAAATATTTTTGCATTCGGATTGTGAAAGGACCAGAAACTGAAGTGACCAGAGTTGAGTTTTCTATTCTCTGAGGGATTGCTTAGAATAAACAAGGTATGTAATGAACTTCTGTAAAACATGTTGGAGACACAGTGACCTGGGTGTCCTGCAACTCAAATGCATAGATTAAAAAAACAAAAAAAGTCATTTTTGCAGTAAGCTATATGATATCAATCATCTTTACATGATCCAAGCAGTATATACAATTATTATTTTATATTCTGAATATTTTGATGCTTTTGACCATTTTCAATGCACATATAGTCTCAGCACAGGATAACATTGGAACGTTCTAAAGAAAAGTGTTAATTTGCAGGGGGCCCAGGGGCCTGTTACTGTAATTCACAGAGAGAATTAGTTCTCCATGTGCAGGAGATGAAGAAAGGAGAGAAAAAATGTTTAGTTGCTGTCATTTGAACACCGCCATTGAGTGTTTGAAAAAGTCATCCAGTATCCTCTTGTGGGCAGAGTAAACTATTTCAATGGAGAAATTCAGATCCATATCATTTAAGTATGTATGCCTTTTGACCTAAAACTTAAATTTCCAATAATTTGTTATTGAAAAATATCACAGTCTTGCACAGTTTTCTTTTATGTTGAATACCCATCATAGTATTGCTTATATTGTGAAAAATCTTCAGAGAGATTGAATAAATAAATCCTCATGGTGGGAAATTTGGGGGCCACAAACATATTGGTTGTGGATTAATATGTAATATATAATTATATAAAATATATTAACACATTAAAACATACAGCAAGTAATAAATAATAGATAATAATACACTTAATATTTATAACAAAGGAAATATATGTGATGTAAATCGCTAAATGGGAAGATGATTATAAAATATTTTACTATGTTTCAGAATGAGTAGAGATGTGTCATATTTATGTATACCAGAATAATAAAGTGAAATAGAGAAAAAGATTTATGCATTATCCATCACAAGGTTAAGGGCAAGTCTCTATATTTTAATGGGGCCACAGATGCTTTTTAATTTCTTTTTTATTTTCCAAATTTTTGTAATAAATTTATGAGGAATCAGTCCAGTAAATGTTCTTCGTATAAAGGAGGAAAAATACTACGCCAAAAACAAATTCTGGAATGGAAATTACCAGAAGGAATTTTAGCTTCACTATGAACCCTCAAATGGGTCATGAATTTGTGTTAACTTCCCCATACAATGTTAAAGCTTAATTATTAAATACAACATTTTCCTGTTAATGCACACAGTGCTCTCTGCATAGGTGAGACAACATAAAATTTGAGATGTGCTGCTAGTAAGAAAAAAAAATAAGTAAATGGATTGTTCGTGGGACAAATTTTTAACAGTATTTAAGACAAAGCTTAACTCGACTTTACACTGTATTTCCTGCTCATCTGTGTATCCTCCACAATTTTGTGCTCCGAAGTCAGAATGCCAGCAGCTGCAACTCGATTTCTGCTTTCAATACTTACAGCTCTGTTAAATTCCTTTAACATCTTTTACCCTTCAGCTACTCATATATAATTTAGTGATATCAGCACTATTTAAAATGCTTAAAAAGAGGTTAAGTTATTTCCCCAAGGTCACACAGCAGATTATTAGAGCCATCAATCCAATGGAGGTGGAGGGAAGTTGGGACTGTGGTGTAGGGGCTGATGGTTTTCAGCACCTACGTTGACAGCATCTACCTTGGAGAATGAGTCACGTGGTACTTCAATATATGTTTTTTGCTTTAATTTTGGAGATGCACAGCAAAAACTGCACTCATGGAATTAATAGTAGACAATTATGTACCTGCTTAAATGTGAGTCAAATATACTTGAATAGAAACAATAGAAAGAGAATAAACGGAAAACCATGTTGTGCATATATGACAGGTAATCAAATGTCCACATGTGAGAGAAATGTACACGTCCTCTGAAACTCAGGCTCTAAACAAAAATTTCAAACTACTTGTGTAATGAAATGTGATGTCCAGGCTTGGGTTCTGGAACCAAAAGAGGACATTCATGGAAGAAGTCTGAAATCTGGATGAAGTCTTGAGTTTAGCTAACAGTAATATACTACTGTTAATCTCTTAGTGTGGGCAAATGTACCATGGTTATGTACATGTTAACATTAGCAGAAATTGGATGAAGAGTATATGGAAAGCCTCTGTATTAACTTTGCAACATCTTATAAACCTATAATTTTTTTATTTAATTAGTACTTCATAATTCAGCTAGCCATGCCTTCATCTAATACCATATTGTCATCTGATTTTATCTACCTATATATTTAAATTATTTTCTTTGTTTAGTTTTCGTGTCTTTTTTATTGTGGTAAATTGTATATATCATAAAGTTTACCC